GATACAACTATTTGAAAATCTGGAATCTGAGGGTGCAAAAAAATCTAAATATTGAGAAAAATCGTCTTTAAAGTTGTTCAAATGAAGTTCTTAGCAATGCATATTACTAGTTTTGATATATACTAGTATTTGATATATTTTTGGCATAAATGAAAAATGGATAATTTTGACCCATAGTTGGGTCTATTCTATTCAACCTATTGTTGGCTATTGCTACAAATATACCTGTGCTGCTTATGACTGCTTTTGTGCTCCAGGGTCACATTGACTACATTGGCGCAACATTTTATAAATGAGGCCCCAGCTCTAGAGTTTAACGTAACTCTGCTGGCTTTCTTTCAGGCTCCTGCAGGAGATTTTCCCACGTTCGGCCGAGCTTTACGAGCGCGTGGCCGCCAACCGCGAGCAGTGGGCCAAAGTCTCGCACAAGTTCACCATCCGCGGACTACCGAGCAACAACTCGCTGGACTTTCTGGACGAGGAATTCGAGCTGCTGCAGTCTCAAGGCGCCTTCGGAGACGATTCGCATCGCATGAACGGTTGCCTGGACGACGACTGCGACAAACACGACCAATGACGTCGCTAGGGCAAAGGTCACCTGACGGATTGTATCTTGGTAAAATTCCGTAGTTACCGACGAGGCTTTGAGGAAAGGTTCGTTGTTTCCTTTTTGCCGTTTTGCACGATGAAGGACGATGGATGGTGCTGCGCAGTCGGCGGAGTGTGTAATGTTACGCAGACATTTGGACTGAAAAAGTTATATTCTCAGTGGCCCCATTGTAATAGCTAAACATTTTATTCTAAATGAAAAATCATATTTCACTTAAACAACTAGATGAATAAAATATAAGAATTCCAGCAGCCCAGTGTTACATTTTTAAAAGTTGTAACAATTACAGGTGTCTGGTGATACGTTTAAATCAGTGTTACGTTTTTAGAACTTGTAACAGTTCCAGCTGCCTGGTGTTACAGTGTTACGTTTTTGAAGCTTGTAACAATTCCAGAAGCCTGGTGTTGCTGTTTTAGAGCTTGTAATACTTCCTGCTGCTTGGTGTTACATTTTTACAACTTGTAACAATTCTAGCAGACCAGTGTTACATTTCTAGAACTTGTAACAATTCCAGCAGCCAGTGTCACGGTTTTTAGAACTTGTAATAATTCCTGCTGCCAAGCGTTACATTTTTAGAACTTGTAACAATTACAGCAGCCTGATGTTACATTTTTTAAAATCTTGTAACAATCCTGGGAGCCCAGTGTTGCATGTTTAAACCTGTAACAATTCCAGCAGCCTGGTGTTACATTTCTAGAACTTGTAACAATTCCAGCAGCCTGGTGTTACATTTCTAGAACTTGTAACAATTCCAGCAGCCTGGTGTTACTTTAAAAAAAAAAAATTTAATCTTGTAACAATCCTGGGAGCCCAGTGTTACATTTTAAACCTGTAACAATTCCAGCAGCCTGGTGTTACATTTCTAGAACTTGTAAGAATTCCAGCATTCTGTTACATTTGTAGAATATGTAATAATTCCAGCAGCCTGATTTTCCAGCTGCCCAATGTTACATTTTTAGAATGTTTTTTTAGTAGTTGTTATTTTGTTGCACATCCAAACAGAAGCAAATTGAAATACTACAAGAAAAACTAAGTCACTGTTTTCTTTTCTGCGTCCTCAGCGTACAGAAATTGTCAGACGAAACACATCTTTGGATAATTAATCTTTTTTCAACCAATTTCGCCCCTCAGACGTCAGTTCTCCCTGTTTACACAGAAAAACGCAACACAACAACATTTCTCCATTCCCGAAATCCCAAAACCAATCATTGGAAATCTCAGTCAAGCGAGCAGCGAGCGATTAGAGCGTGTGTGACGACAGGCGTGAAAACACACGGACCCCGAAGACCTTCTGAAACCGTCGTGGAGAAACTTTTCGAAGCTCTGTACATATAGTTGTGTTTTAAAGGGCTATGCGGCCCTCACACTTTTCTTTCTCAGGATGGCAGAATGTGTGCGTCAAATGGATCTTGCCTTACAAATGTTTGCGTTGCCTTCCTGAGTGACTTTAAAAGAGATCTATGTATAAAAACGTTCGGCCTTTCTATGTACAGCTCTGAAGCTACATGGATATATAGAGATATCTATTTGCCGTGTGTAAATGTGTGTTTGCACAGGTGTGACTGTAAGTGCATTTGCCAAAATCTGCAAAGGAACAGAAAACAGAGTGATGTCAGTTTTATGATTTAACCTGATGTCAGTTTAATATTAACCTGCAGTGGAGTGTCAATTTCACAGAAAACTCCATCATATTTCACAACAAAATCAAAAGAATAAAATAAGTTACATCAAATTTTATGATTAAAATATTGCATTAAATATTAAGCCTGTTTTTAAGACCAATATCATTGTAATATATATATATATATATTTTTTTTTCATTAAATTAATGTCATAATGAAAAATTACTGTTATAATGGTCCTAAAAACATGTCTTCATGCAAATTTGTATTTATTTATTTTAGATGAGTTCTGACCTGCTGTATTTGAAAGAAAAGAAAAATATAAAAAGACTTCATGCTGGCAGCCAACTTTAAAAAATTTAAATGCTTTCTTATAGAGTTTCCTATTTCTTAAGTTAATAATGATTACAGATATTATGCTATTGTTTTCTTGTGCAATAAGTGTTTTTTGCGTCGCCTTGTGTACATAACATCCATTTCTAAATTATTACTTTTTACACACACACTTCGATTTAATGAATCTATTTTCTAGTATTTGTACACGTTTGTACCTGTAGGTGACGGTAAATAACATAGTTTTTCTTTTGGTTGGAATAAAAACATTCTCTCGTGCCATTCATAGACGGCTCTCTGTAGAATGTTTTTCTCACGACTGAATCTACTGATGGGTTGGTTTATGAAATCTACCACATGATAAACGATAAACACTGAATTTGTAGCAAGTATATATGGATTGATTCTGATTCTTGAAGGTTGAAAAATAGAATTATTTCTTCCATGTTTATGACAGAACAATGAAAGACATTGCTAATACGTTACAATAAAGTTAATTTTTAACTACATCGGTTAACATGAACTAACAATGATCAATACTTCTACAGCATTTATGAATCCAATTTCAAAATATACAAATCTAGTTCTAAAACCAAACGTTTAAAAGCATCTCTTAACATGAAGTGCAACGTAATCAAAAATAAATACAAATCATGCACGTGTTTTCAAATCAGAAGTACAAAGCTTAACATTAACATTTCTTAACAACATTAGTTAACATTAAAAATGTATTTGTTGTTGAAACAATTTTGACTCGCAATAATTACAAAGAAACTTAAAATAAAACATTGACAATTGTCAAAGTAGAAAGAATAAAATAGTATAAAAATTAAAAACAAAGGAACAATTCCAGTAATGTTTTCGGTTTACAACTCTACAACTATTTTTACACTGTAACAATTAATGATACTTTGCAGAATTTATTCATTTCAACATTTATGAATACATTTTTAAAATCAATTTGAAAAGCTTCTCAACATTAGTCAACCAAATTAGTTAACATTAACTACACTTAAAAAAAAGGTGTTAAAACCATTTTCACGCACTAGTAAATTTCACAAATAATTACAAAAAAAGCGAGTAACATTCAATAAACAATTCTGAAGTGGAAAGACTAAAATATTTTCTTGTAAAACACTGTAATATTATTTTTATTTATGACTATTATACTAGTTTTAAATGTAACTAATGATACAGAATTTATTGTAACATTAACAAACACATTTTTAAATCAAGCATCTGTTAAAATTAATGCATCAACTAACACTAAACTTTTTTTTATTATTAGTAAGTGCTGCAAAAAAATTATTGCTCGTGTTAGCTAAATATTAATGCTAATAAATGAGACTTTATTGTAAAGTGTTACAGAATTCTATGAAGTGAGAATGGTTTGCCGTTGGTTTTTCTGAAAGTCTGTCTGGAGACACGTGTGTGTGTAGATATTCTGTACAGATCATTGTCTTTAACTTACATGAGGATTATGAATGAAGAAATAAAAGGTTTCGTTCAAATAAACTCTTGGCGTCTCAGTTGAAACAAACAAATCACAAACACGTCATTCATTTTGGTTTTATTCAGTGCTGTAAAAATAAATATTTCAAACATATTTAAAGTCATTCTCACACAACGCAAGAGTCTGAGCACCGGTGCATCGCATCACACACACACACACACACACACACACACTAAAATCGACTGCATCTTTAAATAAAATCCATCATATATATTCATTAAAGCACTCACATTTCACTCTATCATGGAAACAAACAGAATGACTGCCAACAGAAACATGTAAACATTATAATAAAAGCCGAATCATTTTACCAAAAAAAAAAAAAAAATGCTGGAATCTTTGGAATGTTGAAAAGATCATAAACCTGAAACACTGAAGAGCAAGTTTAAATTAGTTTAAAAAAAGTAACACTTTACAGTAAGGTTCCATTTGCTAGCATTAGATACCTTCATTAGTTGATATGAACTGACAATAAAAATCTTCAAAAAAAAATTAAGATCAAATGTTTTATCTCTTTAATATTAATGCACTGAAAACTGAAATAAATACGAAAAAATTCAGTAACATTAATAGAAGTTGTAAGTGGATGTTAGTTAATGTGTTTACTAATGTTAACAAATGAGATCTTACTGTAAAGTGCTACCAAACACAGCTGCACAGGAATTCTGGGTAATTATTATTTTTTGTTTCAAATCAGTCTGTCCTTTATTCTGCTCCAGAAATACTTCATGTAATAAAAATGAAAAATACTAATAAACAATAATGTTTCTGGATTTTTCAGAGAGCCTCGTCTTCAGAATTCAGATTCTGTTCGGCTCGTCATCGAACATCATTTGTTTTCCAAATAAATCAAACATCTGGAAAAACTATGAAAAAAAAAAAAAAAAAAAAAAAAAAAAAAGTGATCAAATAAGATGTTCAAAGGGTTAAACGCATCAAACAAATGAAAGAAATGATATTCTGCATAAACAGAACAAAATCAGAGCTGCTTTAGGAACAATAAGATTCTCTGCATTCTGACATTATTTTAAGAATTTTAAGCCAATTTTGTAATGCAAAAAAAAATCTCTTTTGCTTTTACTGCATTGATGTCTATTTAAGTGATTAAAATGAATATGTATATATATATCTATCATAAAAAACAGCATTACAGAACTACAAATTGTCATGAAAGTAATCTTTCTTTTTTTGATTTTGGGCTGACCTTTGACCTGGACGTGTTTGTGTGACCCTGACCCTCTCAGTATTCCCAGCTGCGCAGTGAGGTCTGCAGCGAGCGCATGTCTTTCAGCAGACGCAGACTGTCTCGACTGCGCTCACCAGGTCTGGCTTTGACCGAGCGACTCCAGACTTTCATCTGTCCTCCGCCGTCGCTCTGCTGAACACACTGTGACACACAAACCATCAGATCAGGGAGCGCTTGGCACTAAAACTAGCCGTCAAGAAAGTACAATCTTTTGCTTTTATTGGTCAAAAATACAGTAAAAATAATGTAAATATTAACAGCTGTTTTCAATGTGAATATACGTTAAACTAATTTATTTCTGAATTTTCAGCATCATTACTCCAGTCTTCAGTGTCACATGATCTTCAGAAATCATTCTAATATGCTGATTTGCTGCTCAAGAAACATCTCTGATTATTATCAATGTTAAAAACAGTTGTGCTGCTTAAAAATACACTTGTATTAATCAAGGACGCATTAAATTGCTTAAAAGTGCCAGTAAAGTCATTTATAATGTTACAGTAGATTTCTATTTCAAATAAACGCTGTACTTTAGAACTTTCTATTCATCTGTGAATCCTGAAAAATAATTTAAAAATGTGCATTTTTCAAAACTAATAATCAGAAATGTTTCTTGAGCAGCAAATCAGCATATTAGAATGATTTCTGAAGATCATGTGACACTGAAGACTGGAGTAATGATGCTGAAAATACAGCTTTTGATCACAGGAATACATTACAGTTTAACAGATATTCACAGAGAAGACAGCTGTTTTAAATTGTAATAATTCACTATTTTACTGTATTCTTGATCAAATAAATGCAGTCTTGGTGAGCCGATACTGTACTTCTACCATGAGCTGCTTTTACAGTATACATGTATCTTCAGTTGCATTGTGTTACCTGAGTTTGATGTCGCCGGACTTTAGCGATCTGTTCTGCTTTATTCTCCATCCTCTTCACGAGCGTCTCCATCTCACGCTCCAGATCCCGCCGCAAGCGATCCGAACCACACGACTGGATCCGTTTGGCCAATTCCTGCTGCTCGCTGACACACAAACACAACACACACCGCTTACAGTTACACACACTCACACAGCATCACTGAATCAGCATTCAGCAACAGAACCTGTCTGTTAGAGGAACGGTTCACCTAAAACTCATCTGACTCAGCCTCCTGTTTGTTCCAAACCTGTACACTGTTATTTTCTTATAAGCAACATGAAAGGAGATTTTCGCAGAACCTTTATGTAAATGTTTAATGACTTAATGTCATTTTTGGAGCTTGACAGTTTGTCGAACACTAGCATTGGGAGAAACTAAGCTTTTTGAATCTCTGAATCAACTGAATGAATCGCTTCACAAAATGATTCACTCTTTCAAAGCACTGAAGCTGGCAACATCGCCTCACACAAACCAAATCCAAATGTTGTCATGCATGTGTAATCTATTAAATTCAGTCTGCAAATCATTTCATATCATTAAAATATGAAGTGTGTGAACAATTTGAGTTATTTTATTTATTTACATAATTATTAACAGAATGTTCATTTTTGGTAAATTGTCCCTTTAACCAAGCCTAAAATTTGATTTTAGCATCATTAAAGTAGTGTTTTTATAGTATTTATTAATATTGTCTATTAACTTTTATTTGTATATTTAAGTTTTAATAATAAAATGTGTGTTATCAGTTTATTAGTCGGTTTTGTGAGTTTATTAGTTTTTGTTGTTTATTTGTCTTTGTTAACTTTAATTATTTGTTATTATTTTTTATTTCAGTTTTAGTTTAATTGTTTTATTTTTTGATTTAGTCATTTTAGTACTTCAAGTCAGGGTTATTATAGTTTTTTAAAACTAAAACCAAAACCATAAAAAAAGTTACCTGAAAAAAAAAAAAAATCTAAAATAAAATACAATTTATAAAACAGTGATTTTTCCATGTCAACATTTAGCATTTTCATTTGGTTTAACTTGATGTACTAAAATAACTAAAACTATTGAAAAAAAAAAATTCTACATAGACATTTAAAAAAAACTAATAAAAATGACAAAAACATGCAACAAAATTACTTAAACTTTAACTAAAATTAACATGAAAGCGGAAAATATAAGAATAAAAATATTTT